GTGTGTGTGTGTGTGTGCCGGGGGGAGGGTTGGGAGGACCTCCCCCACCAATCAATCAATCAATCAATCAATCAATCAATCAATCCACCAATCAATCAATCAATCAATCAATCAATCAATCAATCAATCAATCAATCAATCAATATTAACATAGAATTCGTAAAAACCTAGCAAAAAAAATTGTTAGGTTTGCACGAAATTTTTTAAAGATTTTGATAGTACATTTTTCAGGCCTCCTACATGGACAATATTCTATGTGAAGTAAATTAACCGCAAAAAATGAATAGGAAAATGCTTTTTCAAAACCACTGAAAGTGGTGAGGAGAGAAGCAAGTCTTTTTACCAAAAAATCACTACCTTGCAAAACACCGTTTGTTCAAGAATCGAAATATCCCAAATTTTTTTAATTAAAAAAAAAATAAATTTATAGTTCGATAAGGTATGAAGCAAGATGAAACTATTCGGGGGTTTCTCAAACACGCACATATGTTCTTTTATTCACGAATACATTCTCTTGGATATGTTCTCTCATACATGGACGAATATATTGTTTTTTAGTATTTTTTATTGAAATAGTTTTCTATTTTTTAATTTTAAATCGTGGTTGGCAAAGAATTTGAAGATGTCCCCGAGGCAAAAGTTGCTTGAATTCCTCTTTTACATAACATATATTTTTTGATAAGGATTTTACAATAAACTTAAAAATGGATTATATTAATTTATAGTTCTATAAACTAGTTTTTGCCGAACTTGGTTTTTACCAAACTGCTGAAAACGACTTATAGTTCTATAAATGAGTATTTACTGGAACTGTTTTTTTTTAACATCTTCCGAGTTCATCTTGCAGTCCTTAGAGATTGTCTTGTTTTAGATATGTTTTTTTTCAATTTACTGAAAACGACTTATAGTCTTATAACATGTTTTTTTATTGGCAAGGATTTTCTTGCACATTTTGACAATCACTAAACTTTTTGCCAATTTTTTTGCCTCCTTTTTCGGGAAACAGTTAAAAACGCTCGCTTTTATGTGTCAACAATAAGAGTTTGACTTTCACTTTTTCACTCTATAAAAAATGTTACGTTTTGTGGTTTTATGGTTTTGTTAGGTTTTCACGAATTCAGCGTTTATTTCAATCAATCAATCAATCAATCAATCAATCAACAAATATATTTTTTATTTTTTTTTCTCCACACACCGAAAACGACCCCCCTCGAAAATGATTTTTTTAATTTTTTTTTTGTTTGAGGGGGTAGGGTCGGGGTTCCAGAACCCCAATCCGAAACCCGCACCCCCAACCCCCTCTCCCTTCGGCCGCTGCGGGCCGCGCGGTCATGGCCGCGGGCTAGCAGCCCCGACCGCGGCCATTGGTGTTTCATAGTCTGCCACCTGATTGTACTGATGTTGTTGTGTCATCTGCAGCCTTTGCGGTGACATCTGTTGTTGCTCCATCAGATGCTGTGCTGGCTGTTGCAGTTCCAGGTATTGTTCCTCTAGCCCTTTCTCCACCCCACGCTTGTGCAGTCGTAGCATCGGTTGTTGCTCCAGCTGGCCATGATCATCTTGTGGCAGTTGTTGTTGTGACAGCTGATGTGGCGGCTGTTGTTGCACCACCTGTTGATGTGCCAACTTTTGTTGCATCAGGTGTCGGTCCGCTTGCCCCTGATCGTCCCCCTGAATATGCGGTTGTAGCGTCGGTCGATGCACCACCTGGCTATCTATGTTTTGTGGTAGTTGTTGTTGTGGTAGTTGTTGTTGTGGCAGCTGTTGTTGAATCTGTTGTTGCTGCAGTGGGTATTGCTCCACAATCCCATGCTCTGCCTCCTGCTTATGTTGTTGTTGAGGTGTCACCAGACATGGCTCCATCCTCCCTTGCTCTGTCACCTCTTTGTGTTGTTGTTGTAGCATCAACTGCTGCTCTAGCTAACTCTGCTCTTCTTGAGCTTGAGAACACTGCTGCTGCGTCAGGTGGTGTTGTGACGGCAGTTGCTGGTGAGACCACCGTTGATGAGCAGTTCCGACTACCTCGTCATGTTCGAGCTCCAGCAACCAAACCCGCTCCAGATCATGTTGTGGCCGTTTGGGGAGCTCAGGGGGAAGGAATTTGACTTCCCCCATCACTTGAGAGACCACCAAAGTCATGCTAGCTGGCATCGGGGATTGCGCGGGGTCAAGGGATTGACCTTGCTTCTCTCCTTGTTCCTCTTGCAAACACCGAGTAGGATCTGCTTCTCCTTCCCCTCTTTGCGAGTCTGCGACAAGGGCACATGGACACTGATCAGTTTTCATTGTTGCCCGCTGGATCAACTGGAGGGAATTACCATGGGTAGCATGCTGTGGTCCTCCCCCACCTAGGGATTGTCCAGATTGGAGTGCGCTCACTGCTTTACTGCTTTTAACTGTCTCGTGTTGTTTGTGCAATCAGACTTGCTTTCATTCACACTTTACATGTATGCAAACAGGCGCACAGCAAACTGGCGACAAGCGCCTACTCAGAACTCAGAGATATGGTCACCGGAAACACAGTCCAGATACAAGTTCACTTTCAATGGCTATGGCGACTCAGCGCCCAAACAACTCTTTGTTCGTATACACCGGATCACCCTGGATATCCCACACGCGTTACTCTGCACTCACACACACACACACTACACCCTAACTCTAGCTATGACGGTTATGGCCGCAACTACCCTATTGCTATGCTATGCTCCTTCTCTCTCGCCCACTTCGGCTCCGGGCTCACTGCATACCTCCTTGCACAAGTCGTTGTGGCAGCGCTTCCGCATGGCTCACGCAGGAATGAATGAATGGTTGGGCGCTGCCTCTTGATTTATACTTCTGAAGCTCGTTGGTCTGCCCCTTTCCATCAGCCCATGGTGCACACAGTCCCTCATGGTACTTGCTCGATCGGACTGGGGCTGACTGGACCTTACCGCTGACTGCATGGGGACTCACCGCTAACCTACTGGGTTGTATTGCAATCGTACTGCAGTTAGTCCACCACTGGGTTCCCCACTTGCCCACTGGCCCACTTGCCCGACCTTCTAGAAGGGCTACAACTAAGACTTTTGGAACTCGCTAAGACTTCTATTCTACAGATCTACAGATCGAACCCCTGTTACCTACGGGCAAGAGAATGTATATTGGGCAGTCAAATCGAGGCGCGGGGGAGAGATGGTGGGAGCACATCAGGTGTACGGAGTCTGGTAATAATTGTCATGCCCCTAGGCTGTATTCTTTTCTGAAGGTGTATGGGTGGCAGAAGTATCTTGTCCTACCATTAGCAGGGGGAAGAGACGGTCTGCAGGTGCTTGAGCGGATGCTTATCTGCAGGTTCTCCTCAACGCTCAATATGGTAGGACGTAGTGCAGGGGCGAAAAGGAAAGTTAGGCCAGGTAGAAGGGAGAGGCAGAAAATGGGAGCCCCATTAGCAACTTACAGGAGAGGGCTCTTGACCTTCTGGCAGGCAGGACAGGGAAGGCAGTATGTTAGTCTGGCCCAACTCTTGGAGGACACATGGGCAGCGGGGGTGAAGGTGGTGGGGCTCGTGTCATTTGGAGAAGAGGTGTGGGGAGAGAAATGGTCGGTAATTAAAAGGAAGTTTGGGACATCGACGGTAGTGGTAGATGAGGAGAAGCTCCCCTTGAGAGGGGCCAAACGGGTTATAGAAAGAGGTGGTAAGTTTGGAGTGGCGCCTGTGGTGAAGACTGAGAGTGCAAGGAGCAGAGGGAAAGGTTATCTGAGGCTGTTGTTGGAGATGCCGAGAAAACAGGCGGAGCTCAAGCTTTTTGATATCACGAAGTTAGTTTTCTTGTACCGATGTGCCAGGGAGTTCAAGACCAAGACTATGAGGAGAACCCTGAAGGAGAAGATAGCCGCGGTGATCAAGAAGAAGACCAGAGTCAATATAAGATTGAAGGTCAGTGTGGGAGTGAAGTATAGCCACAAGCTGAAAAAGAGGAAGATCCACGACACGGTGGTCTTATGTGTGGAGAAGAGCAAAATTCACCCTGTTCTGAAATCGGTACTATGACGCAGGGTGAGGGTGGTGTTGGAGAAGAACAAGACGGTGGAGCAGGCCTTGACTAATCATCTGGAGTCAGTGAGGGTGGAGACGGGGTTGTGCACCTGCAGCAAGGATCAACTACCAAGAGTGGAAGGGCATGTGTTGATGCGGAATGCGCAGTGCCCATTGGCGCCGACATTTATGCACAATGGGAAAAATATTCTGCAGAGCGACGTAGGTGTAAAACCGATGGAAGTGCAGCGAGCGGTTGGACGGTCAATGGGGCGGTCAACGAGAGCGGTGATGAGAAGGGACCTGTACCAGGTGGCTGATGCAGATTGTTTCCAGGAAATTATTTCCGATCGTATAGAAGCTAGACCAGCTTGCTTGGAGGAAAGAGCACGGGAGTTGGCGGTAAGGTTGAACCACCTTGTGGTGGTCCCGGTGGATAGAAACCCAGATGATCTGGTGATCATGTGCCCGGCGACGTACCACCATGGCCTCCAGATGATGTTCAACCTTAATGTCGCCTACCACCAGGTTTCGGGGCAGTCCGAGGGAGAGGTGCTCGCACTGTTAAGGACGGAGTTCAAGAAGGTTGGACTCGATAAGTTAGGAGCGTGGAACCCAGCGACCAAGCTTGGCAGAGCGTATGTCTTGCCGAAGCATAAGGACCTAACGAGGTGGAGGCCTATTGCACCGACAATTTAATCGGAGGGATCCAAGATTGTGGGTAGAAGGCTAGCGCGGGCGCTTAACTTCCTGCTCGAGAGAGTCCCTAAGGTCAGGCACTTTAACCTGAAGACCACGGCGCTGCTGAAGCAGAACTTAGAGGAAGGTGGGAGAAGGCTTAGCGTCTACGGTGATAAGTCAATGGCGTTGTTGGCGAGCTTCGACATAAAGGAGATGTTCACGTCGCTACCTCATCAAGAGATTGCCCAGGCTGTTGATTGGCTGTTGCAGCAGTGGGAGACTGGGAGTTGAGAGCCGTGAGCAAGCTGAGCATGAGTAGAAGAGGCCGGGTGGTAGCACTTAGCTGGAAGAGCCCGGGGCCGGGTTATGTAACGGTTAAGTTCTCCCAGATCCGGCAGATGGTCAGCTATGAGTTGGGGAATACTTACATTTTGCGTAGACAGATGATTCTCAAGTAGGCGGTGGGAATACCCATGGGGAAGAATTTCAGCCCCTCGCTAGCGTGCGTACTGTGCGAGAAACATGAGGTCGATTTTTTAAGCTCGTTGGGGGCGGATTGGAGGCTAGTACATGGGGTCAGGCTGGTAGACAATGTCACGGTGGCAATTGCTTGCGATATGGACGATTGTCGAAGTATAGCCACAGCGAAAAGCATATGCTGTGATTTTGGAAGAACGTATGGGAAGCAGCTTGAGCTGGTGAGAACAAACGATGGTTCCAATTCTTGGGACTTTCTGGGAACCAGAGTTGCGGCGCTACCGGGTCCGATCACGTTTGTAATCCGACCTAAGCAGAAGAATGAGGGAGCCTCGGTGGATGGTCCCCTCGCCTTTAGATGTTTCCAAGACTTCGCCTCGTACTCGGAGAAGCGAGCGAAGGCAGGCACGGTACCTGCTGCGCTCCACAGGATCAAGCAGCATGCAAGCAACCCTACGACGGGGGTCCCGGCGACACTGTCTGTCAGCATAGAACTCGGGCGCCGGGGGTACCCCCCCGCGCTCTTCTCCAATGCTCTGGCGGCTTTTACCAGAGCCACCGGCCAATTCGGGGCAGCGCCGAGGGCACTGGCCGAACAGCCGGTTAAGCTAGTGAATGGAAGAACCCCAGGAGGAGGAGCAGGGAGAGGCGAGATGCAGGGATCGGGGAGTAGTAAAGGGGGGAGTTAGGACAATAGTAGAGAGCGGGGTCCCGGTCGCTGAGCTTAGGACCGAGCTGTACACTAGTTACGTGTGGGGGTCTACGGCAGAATGGAGGTGAAAAGAGAGGTTCCCGGTTCCGAACGCTGGAAACCGGGTTGTACGCTAATAGCGAGCGGGGAGACGCAGGGGTAGTTAAGGGAGAGGAGGGACGACGAGTGGGGCAGCAGAGGCGGAGAGGAGAACGGGGTGACAGGGGTGACACGGGGGGAGGGTTAGCAGGGTAGGATGGCAATGGGTAGCACGACGTGGAGTAGTTGGGAGAGAGGCCGAAATCGACGGGGGCCAGCAGGGCCGAAACCGAGTGGCTGGGGGGTGATCCAGATTCACTGGTACCCAGAGAGTAAAATTGACCAGGTGCGCAAAAACAGTATAGTTTTTTCACAGCGTAGGCTCCTACAGTCGACCGGTACAAGTGGTGTTCGAAGTACCTGGCGCAGAGGGAGGCGCACACGTGAGGTTGGCGGGAAGAAAGGGGCTGGTGTTTGGGCTTGCCAAGTCAGTTACGAGTGAGCCGAGTCCGCACCCACCCAGTCAGTTGCAGAGTGACGATCCACGGTGCGGACGGGGAGAGAGTGAGCCGGGTATTTGTACAGAGGGCAAGGCCAGAACGGCCCTCTTTGCTCTGGGCGGTAAGCTACGGTGGATGCGGGAGTGTGGAAAGCCCCTTGATAAGTCCTGGTGCGCAGCCAGGCGAAACGCGTTGGGGATTGTGCGCGTTGAGCTCGTAGTCCGTGAAGGTGCTCTCTTGCGTATCCTTGTGACATGGACGCATAGCGATCGGCCTCGCTATTTCAATTCCAATTCTTCTTCTTCTACTACTTCTGCTGCTGCTGCTGCTGCTCCTCCTTCCTTCCCGCCCTCGGCGCTCGAGTGGTTTCTTCTTCTGCCATCACCACGGGTGCTATTCTTATCCGCTGCCCCATGAGATGCCACCGTCGTTAGTGTTTTTTTTGTGACAGTCATCATCATGGCGACTACCATCACCTAATAATAAATGTGGTTAGGAAAAAAAAAAAAAAAACCATCATTATCATGATCATCTTGTCTCATCATTGTTGTTGGTCAGCGGGTCTCCCCCACTGCTCTCCGCTCTCCAAAAAAATGTCCGTGGAGAGCTGTCAGACTCTCCAACGAGGCAAAAAAAACTGTCACTGCTCCTTTTAGGTCCTCACTCCTCTATTTTTTATTTATTTATTTATTTTAGTTAACTCCTCTACTAACCACATGCACAAAACACAAAATACAAAACACAAAACATATTGCTGTGTATCTTTCCGTGTTGTACTACGTGAAGATTCATTCTTTTATTATTATCAGTCCAGGTTCTTGTCGAGGCTGGCTACTAGGCAATGTAGGCATATGACAGGCCGGTTCTTTTTTTTTTTGGCCGCGCTGCGTGTTTCCTGCATCAGGGGAGGAGGAATGTTTTTTAGTTATTATAATGCACAATATGGAAAATTAACAAATTTTGATGAAAAAATAAAAATTACAATTTACGGCTACACAAATCGTTGAAGATACTACTGATACCACGCTCGGGCGTGGGGGCGCAGCCAGGACGGCGGACCGGTGACCAGCCCACGACGCACCATTCCCGTCTTTATGAGAGGAATAGAATCCCCCCGCGCTCCCAGCCCCAACCCTACCACCTCCGAAGCCACCCCTAGACGCCACCGACCGAGACCCTCCCCCTGTCCTGCTTTTGCCTCCACCGCCTGCCGGGTGCCCATTGTCACTCACATTCCCTTTCCCGCCGCTACTGCCCACTTCCCCACCACCCCCCCCCCCCCGTGTGCCTCCTCCCTGCAGAGACCCTCCCTC